CTGTGGAGGTTCTCCTATAGATTGTGTCCTGAGGCCGGCCTCCTCTTATTGTCATTGTCCTCTCTCTGTGTATAGTGTGTGTGTGTCCCCCTCTCTGTGTGTATAGTGTCCCCAGTGTGAGTGTTTCCTCTGTCAGTCTATAGATTTCCCCTCATCAGTGTGTCCACTTTCTGTTTATAGGGTCCCTTGTCTTTGTATAGTTTCCTCTATCGGTGACGCCGTGCCCCTTCTCTGTGTATAGTGTCCCCTCGGTGACGGTGTCACCCCTCTCTGTGTATAGTGTCCCCTCGGTGACGGTGTCACCCCTCTCTGTGTATAGTGACCCTTCTCAGTGTCGCCGCGCCCCCTCCGTGTCTAGTTTCTGAATCCTCTTATGTTGCAGCCCTCACCTGCCCGGTGAACTCTGTGTCTGTACGGAGAGCGGGACGTTATACCTGTGGAACCTGGAGAGGGGGTAAGTATCTGTTACTGCCTTTGTGTTGCCCTGTTCCTCTCGCCCACATTTTATCTTTCACTCCTCCTATGATCCGGGGTTACCCGCTCTGCACTGACATCAGCAGCCATTGTTCTCCCATCTTCCTCTTCATCCTCCTTTCTATAATCAGCAAATAACATACACCAGTATCATCATCACCACCACCACCAACCGTCCCCGCCACCTCCATTACAGTGTCTCTGGCAATGTCGGCCCTCTCTATCTCTTGATTACTCCATTATTTTCCCTCCCAAGGTCCAAAGTAGGTTCTCTCTCTCTCTCTCTCTCTCGCCTCCTTAGCTCCCTATAACCAGCCAATACTCAGCACTCCGGCACCGCCACCATCCCCTCTCGCCTCCTTAGCTCCCTATAACCAGCCAATACTCAGCACTCTGGCACCGCCACCATCCCCTCTCGCCTCCTTAGCTCCCTATAACCAGCCAATACTCAGCACTCCGGCACCGCCACCATCCCCTCTCGCCTCCTTAGCTCCCTATAACCAGCCAATACTCTGCCATAGCATGCTTTAGGCACCACCATCTTCCCCCTTCTGCCTATCACATTCCACAGCCTGGCAATGCCCACCTTTCCTTCCTCCATCCTGTTTCGTCCTCCTCCCTATAACCATACAGTAGCCAATACTCCCCCCCC